TCTAAGTTGCTGCAAAGCCCATGGTTTTGTCCTTCTTTATGGCTGTATAATAGTCCATCATGTATATGTATCATTTTTTTAAAAATCCAGTTCACTTTTGTTGGGCAGCACATTTGGTTCCATGTTTTTGCTATTGTGAATTGTGCTGTAATAAATATGTGTGTGCAAGTATATTTTTTGTAGAATGATTTGAGTTACTCTGGGTATATTCCCGGAAGGGGGATTGCTGAGTCATATGGAAGGTCGATTTCTATTTCAAAAAGTTATTTTTCAAAACATAGTCTACAAAGTGAAATATTAATGAAAACTATTACCAAAATTAAATATTTCTGTTCAATGAATAACACTATAGTAAATGTTAATAAATTGGCGATATTGTCTTCTTTTTTTCTTTAGTTGGAGTCTCACTCTTTGTCTCCCAGGCTGGAGTGCAGTGGCACGCTCACTGCCACCCCAGCCTCAACCTGCTAGGCTCAGGCGACCCTTCTGCCTCAGCCTTCCAAATACCTGGAACTATAGACACACGCCATGACACCCAGCTAGTTTTTTGTGATTTACTGTAGAGATGAGGTCTCACCACGTTGCCCAGCCTGGTCTCGAAACCCCGAGCTCAGGCAATCCCCTCACTTCAGCCTCCCAAAGTGCTAGGGTTACAGGCTGAATCACCGCGCCCGGCCTGATAATTTCAAATCTAAAATGATTGGGAGATTAATATTGAGAACATATAAGAAATTCCTGGAAGTCAATGAAAGTAAAACAGGGAACCAAAAAATGGGCAAAAAGCACAAATAAAAAATTCCAGAAGAAGCTGAGCTCGGTGGCTCAGCCTGTAATCCCGCGCCTTGGGAGGCTGAGGTGAGTGGATTGCCTGAGTCTGTGGGTTCGAGACCCATCTGGGCAACTTGGTGAGACCTCATCTCTACAAAAAATCAAAAAATTAGCCGGGCGTTGTAGCGCACGCATGTAGTTCCAGCTACTTGGAAGGCTGAGGCGGAAGGATCGCCGGAGCCCAGCAGGTTGAGGCTGCGGTGGCCGGGAGTGGCCACTGCACTTCAGTCTGGGCGACAGAGCGAGACTCCCACTCAAAAAAAAAAAGAAAGAAAAAAATTCCAGAAGAGATGCTCAACCTCACAGGTAGTCAGAAAAAAGGCAACAATAAAACAGTAGTGAGGTCCACTTCACAGTTACCAGGTTTTCAGAAATTAACTATTTTGACAGTACTGATTATTGGTATAAGTGAGAAAGGAGGAATCTTCATGTCCCTCTGGTGGAAGTGTTAAAGAATATAGCCATTTTGTGGAGCAATTTGGCGGTACTCAAGGATATTAAGCTTCCAAATACCAGCCATCAATTTGTGGCATTTACCTTACGTTCTTACATAGGCTCACAAGGGAAAGGTGTGAAGCTGTTTGTCACAATTTTGCTTGTTGTCATTGCAGATGGAGGTAACCTAGATCGTCTTTACCAATAAAAGTTACAGTAAATGTGGTGACTGTGTACAACAGAATACTATTCAGCAATTGGAAGCTCTAACCTATGTGTACATACAGTAATATGACCAGATCTAAAATTTATGATACTGGGTTTTAAAGAATGTAAGAAAAAGAACTAGTAGTGTACTGTTTATATATACAAGAATCCCCATGTATTCCCATGGCTCAGCCTGTAATCCCGCGCCTTTGGGAGGCTGAGGTGAGTGGATTGCCTGAGTCTGTGGGTTCGAGACCCATCTGGGCAACTTGGTGAGACCTCATCTCTACAAAAAATCAAAAAATTAGCCGGGCGTTGTAGCGCACGCATGTAGTTCCAGCTACTTGGAAGGCTGAGGCGGAAGGATCCCCGGAGCCCAGCAGGTTGAGGCTGTGGTGGCCGGGAGTGGCCACTGCACTCCAGCCTAGGCAACAGAGTGAGACTCCAACTCAAAAAAAAAAGAAAAACATTTGTGAGTAGCTGCCTATGAGGATGAGAAAAATGGGAACAAAAATTGGAGAGAAGGGAGAAAGTATAAATAAAACAAGAAGTCCTAGCATGGGCTGCTGATGACTGTGTTCCAAGAACTGAGAAATATGATTCTCAGTTCTTGTCTGTCTAAAACACGAGTCACTCTACACTGGAAGCCTGAAAAATGGAATGAACTGAAAATAAAAGGGAAAATCAAGGTCATGAATAAAGCCAGCATGCCCACTTGTAGACAGGAGAATGGGCCCCACATGCAAGAGTCTGCCAAGGCTCTAGTTCTCATTACATCCAGCCCACTGTAATCACCATCCTTGGGCTCCAGAGACATTCCCTTACAGGTCCCACCTGGGTCCTTAAAATAACTCCTCTGGTTCTCTGAGGCACCTCAGTGTGACTGCTCCAGTGGCATGGTAGTTCTTTTATGGGGTCTCTTTTTGCCACCTGCTCAGCAGTGGGCAGAACTCAGCACTCTCATATTCTCCAGAAATCAGCCATGCTTACAAAAGCATTAGGAGCAAGGTAAGTTGGGCTGAGGATCACGTAGGGGAGATAGAGGTCGGTTTTACATCACAAGCACAGCAGCACAGTCCTCCTCAGACTCTAGCAGGGCTACCAAATAGGTTATTTTTCTCTGCTTTTCTTCCAGGCAGCTCCCAGTCCTCACCTTCCAGTCTTGACCATTCCCAAACTTTCCCCTCAAGTTTCCAAAATTCTCTTGCTTATGCAGAGCTATTTAATCTGGGCACAGAGCCTCCACATGTGCATATCCACACTCCTAACCTATTGGGACCATTCTTAAATTAGAAGCACAGAGACCTGGAAATACAGTGTAACTTACTGTTCATTTGTTTTTTCTATTTCATACTCAACCAAGAAAGCCTTGTCTGTCTAAAACACGGGTTCAATGGAATGTTCAGTGAATGAAACAAAGCCCCATTGGGATCTGTCTGTCCCGGAAGTCTGAGCATGGTGGAAAGGTCACTGCACCGAAAGACTGAGCACCGAGACCTGTAGATTCTACTTCAACAGGTCACAAGGACCAGCTGTGAAACTTGTTAGACAAGCTCATTTAATGTGTGCCAGTTTTCTCAACCACAGAATGAGAAAAACAAAATAAGTCCTATGTATTTCACAGGGTTGTTATAAGGTTCAAATGAGGATGTGTATTTTGAAAAATGCTTTAACGTTATAGCCTTCTGCTATGCTTCACAAGTGTAATGATGGGCATGTGTTGCATATAGTTCTTTTGGGAGGGGTAGCATAGAGTATTTATTATATAATTTGATTTATGTAAAAAAAAGAAAACAGTATATGCTTATATTCAAAAGTGACAAGATACACACAAATTGATACCAATAATTTTTTTTGAGTTGGAGTCTCACTCTGTCACCCAGGCTGGAGAGCAGTGGCACACTCATGGCCACCGCAGCCTCAACCTACTGAACTCAGGGATCCTTCTGCCTCAGCCTTCTAAGTAGCTGAAACTACAGTTGTGCGCCACCCAGCTAATTTTTTGATTTATTGTAGGGATGAGGTCTCACCAAGTTGCCCAGGCTGGTCTCAAACCCATGAAATCAGGCAATCCTCTCACCTCAGCCTCCCAAAGTGCTGGGATTATAGGTGTGAACCACCATGCCCAGCCAATACCAATGATTAATTATGGGACATGGCAAGGGTAAGTGTTGAGCAGGTGGAGAGGTTCTTCCTCTATACACTTTGAAAATGTTTGATTTTGTCTTAACCATGAGTATATGCTACTTTTATAATAAGCACTAGACAATACTACTACTACTACTCTATTTGGTTGGACTACCAAGCCACTTGGCTTCTTTCAGTATCAGACATGGGTGTCTCTGTTCACCACAATGGGGTACAGAAGAAACCTCAAGTTCTCTGGTTTCTTTTATATCAAGGACTTCTATTTGCCCAGCAGTTAAGTTAGGGGTAATTATTTGCATCACAATGATTCATGTTACAATTTTTAAATACAATTCACGTATGGTACAAGCTCTCAAGATGCCCTTAGAACATCTATCTGACCCATGCTTGAGGAGCAGGGCTCATGCACTAAGCAAGGTGCTCTTGGTCCTACACTAGAAGGGACCGGGATTGAGGATACAGGCAGATTTCTTCAGTGGCTGGGGGTGGGAAGGTGGGAATGTGAGTGTTCAACTTGGTAGAAAAAGAGCAAGAACAAGAAAGGGTAGGGGTGGATCATCATGGTTACAGGGATTCATACCTTGCTTTGTAAAATTATTGTAACCTGAGGTCACCTTCTGTGTCCAAAGAATAACTATAACAATAATAAATATTTGAGAGGTTGATTAGACTAGAACAAAGCTTCATTTTATTAAACAGTGGAGCCTGGTGATCATTTTACTGTCATCAGGGAAGTCCTGAGTAAAATAAGGGACAGAATTGTGTCCTGGTCACAGGGCATCAGGACCATCCCCTCTGCACCTACCCCCCCCCAGTCGTCCACATAGACAGGTTCTGCTGGACTTAAGCCTTCAGCATCATCAGCAGTAATTAGACACATGAAATGCAGAGGGCTGTGGGTCACGCACTTTATTAAGGAATTATCTACAAGTCCAGAGAAACGACCCTAAATGGAAAGGAAGAGGCCCTGGGGTCCACCCAGGGCTGACGAGGAGGCCCTAAGCCCTGCAAAGGTGAAGCCATCTCCAAGTGAGTGTCAAAATAAAAAGTCAGCTGTATAAATTAAGCCCAATAACATCCTGGTTTTTCCCATGATGATTATCTTGAAGTTTTAAAATTTTTGTTTTAGATTTTTCTTTTCCTCAAGCCCGCTGGCTCCCTCTTTGCTGGTGTTTCGGCACATGCCAGCCTGCCTCTGCTCCGGCATCCGAGGGTGCAGAGCAGGCAGGAGCGTCACGGGGAGAATCTGAACGTCAGGGAGCTGACGGGCATAAGATAAAGTACAAACGACCGCTTTGGAGACGCTGAGGTCTCGGTCCTCCCTCCTTGCCCAAGGCTGGGGGCTTAGCTGGGACCCAGGGCACTGCTGTCCTCGCTCCGCCTCAGCCTTGCAAAGTGAGGCAGGAGCCTTTCTTCCAGACGGCAAAGAAAGGGAAGACCTTGCCAGAGAAAGAGGTGGTGAAGGTGAAGATGGGCGCCCGCGTCTGGGAGTCCAGCAGGGTCACCCGCCCCGCCTCGTAGTCCAGGGCGACGACCACGCCGCGCGGGATCTCGCTCAGCGGCAGGTCGGGGCCCGGGGGGGGG